ATTGACAGTTAAATTGCAAATAAATATAATAATTACTCATCACATTGTTGTATGTTAACAGAAAAATATACATAACAGTTGTCTTCATTTATTTTCCAACAGTATCATACAGCTACTATTGCATACTTCTCTTGGAGTAATCTTTTACATGAATTATTCAGCTCTAGAAAATTAAGTACAATCAAATCTCTCTTATGATATTGGGTGCTGTCTATGGACTAATGCATTCATGCAAGTGCAATACAATAGGCAACTAACAGCTTGCAATCAGGTGCACTGTAAAATGCCTTTTTTGTAGTAGTGCAGTTCTATACAACCAACTTTTGCCAACTACTCAAGATAATATTTCATTTTCTAGTTTCAGAAATTATGACTCAGTATTGCTCGTATTTATCTCCCGTAAATTTAGAGTTTCATTTTGGAAGTATTATAAAAAGAAGAGGGCAGTTTCAGAGACCCAAAATCATTGTATTAATATTACAGAAAAATGCATCCACTACAATGTTTTTTATTGAGTGCTTTGAATCACACTTTGTAGAATTTATGCTCTTAAAAATGTGTGGAAATCAATTATCATAAATTCACCCTTCTATTAAATTTGTTTTCCATAATCATCATAAATTGAATAACGTACTTTTGTAATTTCTTACATTCATATGCTCACAACAAGTACACAAGGCACATAAAAGCATGGCACTCATTTTGTAGTCTCCTCATTTTCTTTGGAAGGTAAGATATACTCACAATTAAGAATACATAAATTTCATAAATGTAGAAATGTCAGTATTCAAAATTGACATTTTGTGTTTTCCATATTTGTTCTTTAGTGCATATTGATTAATTTAGTAAATACCCTTTCAAATTTTCTACCTTTAAGTATGCCATGTTCAACAAAAAAAAAAAACAAGTAGGTCACGTGCTTGGTGACAATATGAAATTATGGAAGACAGTTTGATAAATAAATACATGAACTAGCACTCTTTTCTTAGATTATGTTAGCTTGGAAAGTAAGTAAATTTATTTTTGTGTTTTTTTATTTATTTTACACTTAAGAATATTCATATGTCAATTACCACAATATTTTTATATGATCTTTTTGTAATCAATAATAAGTAATTTTGTAAAAATTTGTAATAAATTGAACAATTCAGAATTTTATGATTATGAAATATCAGAAATTTCAGTGAAAATATCAAGCTGTGGTACTATAAGATATAGAGATGATAAATATAATAATGATTATTGCACAAATAAAAGAAAGATTTAAAACAAATTCTTTTGAAAATTTGAATATAAGTAGTCTTCCTGAGTACAAGTCATGATGAGATCAAAATGTATGCCAAGTAGTGACTTAACAGAGGATAAATTCACACATTCATTAACAAATCACACTAATTATGTTTACAAATGGAAATTAGACACTCTTAGAGACGAAAGATAAAAATTACAATGAAATAATTACTTTTAAAAGAAATAATTGAAACGGAATGTTCTTCCACTGAAATTAGGAATGTTTATAATGAATACTACGTATGCCAAATATTTCTTCAAAATGTTCTTAAATATAAATGGTTATAATCACAAATTGTGCACAAAGTATTTAAAAGGGATGAAAGTAAATAAAGAAATGACGACAGCTTGTAAGGTTCATCCACTACTGAGGGGTAAAAGCAGGCAGTAGGTAAGCCAAATAACAAATTTTAACAAATTTACAATGATATGAAAATATTTCTGGACAGTCTGGGGAAAATTAATACAACATTTCTTCTAAAATCACTGCATCTTAGTGTGTACTTTTTTTAGAGAAACTTATTGCATAACGGAATGAAATATCCTGACTGTTCAGAAATACCATACTTGAAACATACAGAACTGAGACACAAAATTCTCACCTAAATGTATACATACCCATAGAAGTTGATTTCCACTCACCATCATAATGTTGAAATATGATAACATGAAGGAAGACATACATCAAGAAAATGTAATGAAAACATCACAACCACTTAATACTACAGTTCCAGAAATAGAGACTATGTAATATTTAGTTGTAGTGAATACTTTGTATAAGGAGGAATGATTTCAGTCTAAGTGTAATCTAAAATACTCATTCATCTTCTGAGTTTTTTTTTAAGACCAATTGAACAATTAATTTTGAGAAAATATCTTTTGCTGATAAATTAATTACATGAATATTTCCAAATAAAACTGTTGAAGATGATGTAATTCCCCAAACTTGTTTGAAAACAATGTAACAGAAGAAAGCATTAATTACTGGTAGGATATCACATGTTCATTCTATGTATTTTACATTAATTAATGTATATTCATGTTAGAAAATTGGATTGGAAAAATAATGTGAGTAAAGAACGCTGAGAAAAGCATTTTGTAATAAATATGCAAATTTGATCAATACATGTTTATTTTCTCTTGAAATATTAATAATTATTTACTCTTTTAACAATGAAAATACAATATTATTATTCCCAATTAAATATTTTTTTTCCACTCACGATTTATATTTTGTATTTCCTGAGTTAGGACCGACAAATTGTTACATTTACAGTGAAAAAGAATGCTAAATAAATTTTCCCAAAGAAACAAAATTCTATTAATAGTCTTCTCTCAGAAGTATAATTGTATCAAATTATATAGGTAGTAAAAGCAGAGGCCTTGTTTTATTTGCAAAATTTTGTGCAATATAACTTCACAAAAATGTGTGAACATTATAGAATTATTTAAGAAAATAAGAACAGTTATTATACAAATATTTAAATAAAATTATTGAAAATGATAGTATATAATTTTGGCCAATTGAAAATTTGATAAGAGAACAAAGAAGAATTGTATTGTTTTATTATATTTCTTCTTACAAAATTGTTCCGTAGAATACACAATTCTGATGTTCTTGATGCATGTCTTTCCTTATCATCTATTATTTTTGCATGACAAAATACTGTAAGGACTGGAGAAAAAACTTATATTTGAAAGACCAAACAACAACTTTCATGTTGCCACAAAGTAGGCCTATGTATTTTTCCTGTAATACAGCATTTTGCGTTTTGAGTGAACTTCACACACACACACACACACACACACACAACTATCATTCTTTCAGTTTTACTTACACAAGAAATTCTTAAAAATTCATGTGAGTGTAAGATTTCTTGCAACTTCAAGATCATCAGCCCATATAGAAGTCATTTAGTGTAACTGACATTTTTAAGAAAATTAAAATATGCAAACCATATTGCTTGCCATTTTAAAAGAAACAAAGACATGATTAAAACAGCATGTAATATATCATCAAATAGTTTGAATTTGGAATAATGTAATCCATTCATCTACTTTGATATTTGCATTGTAATGTACAAAGAATAATTAGAAGTTCATGTGATCTTATGAACACTGAAGATCTTAAAATTGCATATCTGAAATGCAATAATATTCCAAAAAATATCATTATGTAATCAATAATATAAATAAAAATTCCAATTGTACAGAAACTTTTGGAACCTCAAATACATGTTTTAACCCATATCTGGACAAACTATATTTGTAACAAATCTGGGCAAGCGTGTCAGCCAGATACTGTGATATCTTATGTACGTACAAATATTTTATTCCTTCACCTTTGTATAGCTAATGTTCTAATAATTTTAGTTTTATTATCTGATTCTCTATCTTCTAAAAGAAATTCATAACAATTGCTCCTCAGAAAGTTTTTTCGATTTGTCATTTTCTTTCTTATAGCTGAAATGATAGAGATCACATAAATTCTGTAACTGTGTACACTTGACAAAACCAGATGTTCAATCTTCTACCATCTATAAATAAATAGCATTATTTTTATTATGTTAAATTCAAGAACACAACCATTGTTTATTACCAGAAGAACATTAGGGCTCTTGGAAAACTACATGCTCAAAACATTCTCCCTGAAGTTAATATTTTTATTGTTTATTGACTAAACTAAAATGTTGCATGCACACTCTTTGAAAGAAGTCACAAAGAAGTACACAATAACTTTGACAGTGCAAGAAACCACAGAGTCTAGCAGTCAGAAGTTGTTCAGATAAGGGTTAAAAGAAACTAAATACAATGAAAACTTATTCAGAATCCTAAGAGTAAGGCATATTAAGCAATAAGTAACAACCTTCATTATCACAATTTTTCCCAGTTATTGAAACTGGGAAATTGACAGACTGACGCCATAAGTCTTTATTATTCATTTCTAATATGAAAGCACCTAAGACTGTGAAGACAAAAAGTGCTTCATTCCAACACCCTTAAAGTCTATAATGGTGACATTTTCAACAAACCCTTAGTTATTTTCAGTTACATGTACAAGAGAAAAGACTGGTGTATCCTTAATTTTGATATGCTCACATCAAACCTTTTTGACAAACTATGTTGATATAATGATCCAAGATGATAATTTTTACAGGAGAGCTGTTACTAGAAGAGTATTTTCAGAAAGCATTGTGTCTTCTTTCCACCACTAAACCTTATAATACATTTTATACATATATAACACACATTAATATATATATTACATACTAAAATCGCCTTCAATAGGAGTGATTTAAGAATAAGTAACAGTTTAGAATCACATACACCAACAAAAAAGTAAGGAGTACTACATAGCAGCATTTTCTTTATACTGGTTCTGATATATATTTAACCAGCCCTCATTTATCAGGCTACAGATTATTGTAAATTTTCACAAAGCAATGTATTGAATGAACAAGTAATTAAACATTTTTATAATTAATTATAACTTAACTGATTCTTTTCCAATCTCGTTTTTCACAAAGGCAACAAGTGATCTAACAAGAACAACAAATTCAAAGTTTACATGAGTTAATGAAATATGAACAAATGATTCAATAAAATTGCATTTCTTTAGAGACCTAATCACAAGTTCTTCATGAATTTTATTTTTAAAAATCAAAAATATTTGAGTATAATAGAATCTTTCTAAACTACAAAAAAAAAAAGTTTTAAAAAATACTGAAACAACAATTTTTTAAAATGTTGTATATGGTATGAAAGTATGAAATTGTTTATAGAAAGAACTATTTAGAGTTAATGTGTATGTGTCCTATTTGTAACTTTATAGTTCTTGTTGACAGCCTTTTTTGTGTGATCTTTTACTTCCTTTATCTCTCTTTAATATCCTTTAGTCTTTATGAATTTTCATAATAACAAGTATTTAAACTTCTTGTCATTATTAAGAAGCAAGACCCTACTTTCACACCATATTATAAAATTATTACAATCAATATCATTCCCAGTGATGAGGCAAGCAAATCACTTTATTGGAGCACCCAGAATAACTGGAAGTGCAATAAATTTTCAATTTAATACATATAAAAGCATAACCATTTCATTTTAGTGTTTGAAGTATCAAAAATTACCACAATCAAATTATGACATTATTTTATAGGTTGGGAGAGCATATTTTTAAATTGCCTCAGAAGAAAGGATCAAAATCGTTTGCAATCACTATTTCATTTCCACTAATACTTTTGAGTGTATAGAGCAGACACAAAATGAATGCAATTAATGTCTGAAATTAAATACCTTCCTATATTGAGGTCCTCACTTCAAAAATTTATAACAACAAATTATTGATATCATCCTCATTCATTCTGTAATAATTGAAGGTGTCAACTGAATAAAGGAATGTTGCAGAAACAAGAACAATTCTGAAGTTTTTAAAACAGAAAAGGAAGTATATACAGAACATAGACTTTTTTTTTCTTTTTAAAAGGAAATGTTAGGTAATTTTTATTTGCAGTAAACAAGAAATAAAAATATTATATCTATTTTGAAGAAAAAGTATAAAGTTGTGTTTTAATTGATATTATTCAAATGTTTGCATGACTTCAAAATGCTGATAATTGTAATTGAATCTAGGTGAAAAAGTTGATTTCAAGAACTGTTAAAAAAAATGCATAACTCCAAAAACATTTAGAGTTTTGATTCCTTTATTTCATTTTGTACTTGCATGAAATTGAAAACAATGATCAATTCTTTATTCCATGGGTAGATGGGGGAAAGTGAAGTGTAGTCGATTCACAAGAATCCATTCTGAAAGTTGGATCTCAACTTGTAATTGTACTTAGAAAATGTAGCAAAATGCTCGTTGTAGAAAAGATGTCGCAGTTCCTCATTTAAAGTAATATAATAGTATAGTAATAGAATAGTAATTGAATAATACATTGTACAAAAACAAAATATAAATTTAATTGCTATACCATCTTCTCAAAGGATTTACTTGATACAAATTAGGAGACAAAAGTTCACAACAATGCTTGGATTTATTTTCAAAGACGACTTTGCTACTTCCATGAATACTTCGTAGTTCATTTTTCTGAAAGTTCCATCATACATGCATTTCTTTGAAATGAATATCATTGTACTGCACAATGATAAAATTCGAATTTGAAACACACTTTTGGACGAATTATATAAAAAAAATATATTCCATAAGTATGAAAGAACATAGTTATAGAAGTAAAGAGGAATCCATGAATGTTGGGTGATCTTCAGCAAAGAAAGTTTGAGACTCATTTCACTGCAAAACTGTAATTCACTGCAACATCTCTTTTTCAAGATATAAACAATAATGCACACGCAGGAAACAGCTGTTCAGTATTGCTAAATGCAACAGAGCTACACAGAAAATGCAACTCCAGCATTTCCAGCAAAAATATACGATTTCTTTTTTATTAAGAATGAATTTTTAGATTTGTACAGTTTGGAAGATGTTTTTATGTATATTTCCCTTATCAATTTCTCATGGTGTGTGTAATCAATAAATATGTGACATGTCAGAAAATGATATATTTTAATGTTTGACATTAGAGTACCTCTGTTGCTACATGATATTATGAATTTGGAAACTTATCTTAAATTAGTGATTTTTTTATTCTTTTCAGTGATACAAATTGTCTCTTAATTTGTGAGTGAAAATAGTGTCTTCTTAACAAGGGAACTATAATTAGAAAAATCTTTTAATGATGTAAGAAGCCTCAATGTACTATAAAACTGCTCCCATAAAAACTTACAGTATAGAAGCATTAAACATACGACAGTGTCTACATGTCAATAATTTCACATTATAACTAAATCAATAATACAAATTCAAACTGATATTAGTCATCCTCATATCTTGCTCATTTTTCCTAATAATACATGTTGACTACTTAAACAATAACTACAAAATTTCATTAAACAATGTATTTTGTATTCAATTTTATAATTAAAAGTTTCTAAATACTATCATTATATTTTCTATTGACATTTCTTACATCAAATTGCCAGACCGTGTATGTTTAAAACCTGAATTCTTCGTTAGTATGTGTAAAAGCAATAAATTTTTTTGAAATTATCATAATTATAATTATTATTTCCTGTGAACAAGTTATTGCCAGCCTGAAGTAATAATGAGGGCAAAACATTGAAAATAACTGCTTTGTAGGATATTTCCACAACCATGAGAAGCAACATATTACTTATTGCTCCATGTCCCTTCTATTTAAATATATACAGGATTAACTGCATGAGACCAAATTTTGTTCCACTGTCCTGTAATTATAGCACCTCGTAAAATATTCATACATTTCTCAGGAATGTCCTGAGAAGGGGATCTCTTATGTTTATACAATTTCAGTCTTATCAAATATTTCTGAGAATCACAATTAACAAAATTGTTGCAGTGCAACTTTCACTTTTGCTCATGAAGAGAACCAGTGGCATAAGAATATGTGTAGTAAATTTACTGTAAAATGTGTTTTTAGGTCACATATTCTTAAAAATGTCACAACACTACAGCAGGAATCAGCAGTATTTTAGAAAATATTGCAAAATCTTGATTACACAGTAATATAACACTTTTGTATGTAGTAACTTATTGTATATAGCTGGGCACTTAGATATACATGAACAAAAATTGTCAATAACCTCTTTCAAAAAATTATATTCAGAAACAACACATTCGGCATCCTTGTCTTTGTTCTGCCTCAGGGAATCCTCTTGTAAATACTTGCAAGAGTTGACAGTGCACCCTGTAAAAGAATAACATGAAAAACAAGTGGACTAAGTCAAAGTTTCATTCAAAGTTTTCTTCATGTTTGTTTGGTACAGGACTAATGAACATTTAAATCACTTGTAGCAAGTACCATTTATTTATTGATTTGCATACCTTTCATTATGAAGAACCTAAAACCTTACTCGCATTGTTTTTAACATTTGCAATTTTCAAAAATTCTGGGAGTTCAACAAAAATTAGTCGTGTCATTCTTTCAAGTGTTCCTTCTCTATACATGGAAACAATTTTGAGCAGCTTTTGAGAAAATGTTTGTTTTTTTTAAATAGTTTGTATTAACTTCAAGCAGAAGTTATTCAAAAACTATACTTATTTCTTCCAAAACAGTACAGAAGCTTTTTAAAGATCTATTTTTTGAGACATTTCATTGAAGAAATATATCTGCATCTTCAATGTTGTACCTTTGCAATGTTGACTTTTATCAATTTTCTGAAATTGAGAGTTTGCCGGAAATGGGGCTAGCACTACTTTTTTTTTATCGTTTTTTGATAGACACAAAGAGTATATTAAGAAAAAAATCAAAGCCATTATTTACAAAATAATTGTTTAAAAATTGACTAAACTTGACGCAAAATTCTCTGAAAACTATTCACATTTGGATAAGAATTGTGACCTAATTTCAATGCCTGTATTTGAATAACAAATTTTCTTAAATACAAAAATTCTCTTTCCTCAGTATTATAGGTGTAGGATGAAGGCGAATAAATTTTGAATATATACAATTTTTGAAAAATCGACGTTTTTAACGCAAATGAGATACGCGCCATTCTTTGAAGTGTCCTTTCCGCTATCCGAGGACAATGTTTAATAAAAATATTTGGAGCTATTTTTGAGAAAATGTTGATAATGAAATTGAAGCTTTATTTATAGAACCTCAAAATCAAATAATCCCATTCAAACCGGCTGGGGAAAATCAATTTTGGAGAAAAACGTCTGAACGAATTAGGCACTAGTGTTGGCCACGGACGGACGGACATGCAGATGTTTTGTCGTCAATCTGTTTTTCGGTATCAAGGACCCACTAAACGAATTCTGACTACACGTGATACAAAGAGGAATTTACTGCTCAGTTGTAGCGACGTTACTGACAAGAATTAAAATATTCATAATGCATAAATTATTCAACAATACCAACCTCACTCGCATGTTTGTTTCCCATTGCACTTCCCCATCACAGTTCCATACGCTAACTCCAGGAATAAGGCGAGGAGTGGAGAAATCCCCTTGGGACACAGGAGTTGGAAGCGACCGGAATGTAAACTCTCTTGCTCGATGAATTTCAACAAAAGGCAGATCAAACTGAAAGAAACGTTGTACATATTATGTATTACAAATTATAAAACACATTGCTTTAAAAATGTTTTCATATACACAATTTTGTAAAGTATTTCAAATACAATACCTACCACTGCTTTATCTTTACTTGTGAGTCTGAGGAGAAGTCGAAAGTTGTTGAGCATGTTTGTATGTTTAAAAAGAATAATATCAACACAACCATCTCCCAAGTGACTGAAAGGTGAAATGCCATTTGGACTTCGTGTACAAGCACAAGATACATTGGCCCCATTGACCATAAAGAACTTGCCTCGAAAAGTCTTCCATTCTGGAACAACAAAAAAGAATGAAAAGTATTTAATAATTGAAGAAAAATAGAGGATGAGTGGTTAAATATTTTGGTATCTGTCGTCGGTTTCATTACAAAGTGAGCAACTTGAAACTAATCTTTTCAGGGGATACACCAATATTGTACTGGGATAAATTTCAAGATGTACTACCTTTGACACAGTGAGCCAGTATCCTAATTTATGAATATATTATATGAATATATATTATAATTTTAATATTATATATATTATAATTTTTATAATTTATGAATATATAATATAAATTTTCTTGTAGTCTCTGTAGTTGTGACTTTATATAATGACTTATTTAAAATTTTAAATCTTTATTCGTAGGAAAATTCACAAGTATATTTTCTATGTTTTAATATTGTGATATATTATTTTAGAACAACTAGTCTTAGCATTTATTGAGGATGTATTATAATTATCAGTCACAATGACACATTAACTAGTTTGTTACTCAACGCTATAGGACCCATCCTTGGGTGGATGAGATGAATGAATGACATGTTGATGACGAAATGTTAAAGTTTGATGCAGTAACGGATGAATGAGAGTCGTGGAGGGCGGAGACGGGAACTCCGAGTAAACCTGCTGAAACTCTGCTTTCTCCGCCTCAAATTATACATAAATGGACTAT